GGTTGCTCCATGTTTCAGTGGCTGAGCCTGGTGTCACTGAGGAGTAATTCCTTCATTTCCTTTGTTTCTTCATCCGCCTTGCAACGAGAGAGAAACTTGTCCGAGTTGCACCATCAGCGTTACTGGAAGTGCTTATAGCGCAGTGTTACTCCCTTAAAGCAGGGGTGGGGAACGTCCAGCCCTCGGGCCATATGAGGCCCGTGAAACCATGGGGTCTGGCCCTCCAAGGCATTAGGGGTGAGCTCATTCAATGTCTGACCAGATAGAGCAGGCTCATGTTTAAGGTGATGATTTTGTAGGGCCCGAGAATGATGTTACAAATCTCCCTGTGGCCCTTGGCAGGAAAAGGTTCCCCACCCCTGCCTCAAAGGAACGGAAGGCCATGTCGGAGCCCCGCCGAGTGTCAGGGCTGGGAGTGGCAATAGCAGTTTTCGTGTGCTGGGATCCGTGCATTAAACCGGAGGGTTCCATCTGCAATTCAGAGCCAGGGACTTTGTGTCCTTCCAGGTGGCAGGGGTGACGACAAGGGCTGGACTTGGGAACCCTGAGCAACAGTGTGAGTCAGTGGCTCCAGCCACCCCGGGAACAGGGGCGGCTTCTGGAAGGCCAGCTCCCGGCTGCAGCTGAGACCACGGCCCCTGTGTTCTGTGTGGTTGACCATGTTTGGATTTCATTGGTGTGTGGACCGTAGTTTGGTTGGAAAGGGAGATGGTCATAGGTGAACTTGTCATTTCCCTCAAGTTGGAGGTGGGCAGCTGCCTAGATTCTCAGTTCCCAGAGCTTAGATGGCAGAATAAAAGCACAGAGACGCAGAGGCCCAGCGTTATTAGCAGGAGGCGTCCCCACGGCAGGGCGAGGCCCCGTGGGGGCCTGGGACACGTTCACACGTGTGGCAGGAACGTGATGGGCCTATTTTTATTTTTTAAATATATTTTTATTATTGATTTCAGAGAGGAAGGGAGAGGTAGAGAGAGAGAAACATCCATGATGAGAGAGAATCATAGATCGGCTGCCTCCTACACGCCTCCCACTGGGGATCAGGCCCACAACCCGGGCATGTGCCCTGACCTGGAATGGAACCCTGGCCTCCTGGTACATAGGTCGACGCTCAACCACTGAGCCATGCTGGCCAGGCTAATTGGTTTTGCTAAAAGGCACTTGGTGCTAAGAGGGAAGGACGGACCAGTTGAGGAAATGGTGAAAGGGAAGATGCCGTGGTCACCTTTGGCTCTTGATTAAATTAGGAGACAAAAAGGGCACGTTTTCAAAGGCTGAGTCCGCATCCTACAGTGTCCTCTCACTCAAAAGTCATTACCTTTTGTTAGGGTTTATTTGGGTACTTTTTAAAAATGTTGTTTTCTGGTTATGAAACGCTAGCACATGTTTATTGTATAAAATACGGAAAATACCAAACAGCATAAAGAAGGAAGTGAAAAATGCGCACCCAGTCGGCCAGGACAGCCGCTGTCCGCGTTCGGGTGACTCGTCCTCCATGAGTGCGACAGTCTCTCAAGCGCAGTGCGAAGAGGCTCCACTGCCCTCGCATGCCCTCTGCCCTCACTTAGGAGGTGACAGGAGACTTACGACAGTTCAAGGAGCTTTTGCAGAAGTAGCCAGAAGTCGATTGCTTCGATTTTTCGTTTAAAAACAAGTCGCGTGCAGCGTATTCAAACACATGCACGCACGCGACGGCGTGTCTCTGGGACGCAGTAACCGTGTCTGGGCTGGCACTCAGGGTGCGTTCCTGGGCACCGTGGTCCCGTCCCCCACGCTGTCTCCTGACCCCACATGGCTCTCGTTTGTAGCAGTGACTCTTCGAGAAGACGGCGCCAGGAGGCTGGAGAGGAGAGGGCGCCGCGTGTCCGCGTGCCTGTCGGACTACTCCCTGGCCACCGACAGCGGCGTGTTTGAACCTCCAGCCAAAAGGTTAGAAGCTGACCTTCCCTCCTACTCCCTCCGCAGCCGTCCCGCAGCGTGGCTGCTCAGCGTGAAAGAGACCCATATGGGGCCTCCCACATCCTGGGCCTTGGTGTTGTGCATCCTCACCCAAAGATATTTTTCCCACTGATTTTTTTTAAGAGAGAGTGGAAGGGAGGGGGAGGGGTAGAGAGCGAGAAACATCTATATGAGAGAGAGGCATTGATTGGTTGCCTCTCCCATGCACCCTGACTGTGGCCCAAGATTGAATCTGCAACCGAGGTACTTGCCCTTGACCTGAATTGAACCCACGACCTTTCCGATGCTCTAACCACTGAGAAACACCGGCCAGGGCGAGGGCAGGGTGAGGGGCACTTCTTTTTTCTGGCTTCTCTCCAGGTTGGAGGGTGGGCCTTCGCAACCTGCACGGAAGAGTCTGGCTTCAGAGGCGTTTGGAGGCTGGGCCTCGTCCTGTGGTTCTAGGGCGGCCGCTCTCTCTGGCCCTGGGGGCTTTCAGGCTCCAGCCCCGTGGAGCTGGAAAGGAGGATCCCTCCAGGGACCTATTTTTCCTTGGTTCCCTTCCCGCCATGGTTTCATCTCACTTGCTATTAACGTTTCAGAAGTTCACGTTTGAGCTTTGCCCTGAATGCCACATGTGGCTTTGAAAGGTACGCAAACTTCTATTCTGAAACAGCAGTTCACGGGCAGGTACCCAGTGAGATGCGGCGTGGACCCGGGGACTGCTGCGCCCTGCAGTCACTGAAGAATTTATTACGCCGTCATTTTTGTTGTTGCTCCTCACTTGAGGATATTTTCCCATTGATTTTCAGAGAGAGTGGAAGGGAGGAGGAGAGGCAGAGAGAGGGGAACATCGATGTGAGAGAGACACATCGATGGGCTGCCTCCCGCATGGGCCCCGACCAGGGCTGGGGATTGAGCCTGCAACTGAGGTACATGCCCTTGGCCGGAATCGGAGCCAGGACCTTTCAGTCCGCAGGCTGACGCTCTAGCCACAGACCCACCCCGGCCAGGGCTTATGTCGCAATTGAATAAAAGCCACTGTCAGTACCAAGCACCCCTGACCAGAGAGAGCTTGCGCAAAGGCTACACTCAGCAGTGCCTGGGCGCTAACCCTGTGACTTCCCGCTTGTGCTCAGGACCGAAGATGCCGAGGAGCCCGCACAGGGAGACACTCGCGCCATGGAAGGGCCGCAGATCCACGTGGGCTATTGGTGAGTACGGCGGGCTCCTTCCTGGTGCTGTAGCGATGCTCTGTAGATTGGGGCCGCTTGGCCACTCACACCCCATGCTCACGCCAGAAGGATGGAGGGACCCGGCGATAGGGGGCTGCTCACCCATCCGGATACCCCGAGCCCGCTGCAGCGGTCCCGGTGAGGGACACAGGTGGCGGGAAGGAGCACTGAGAGTCACAGCTGGGAACTGTCACCTTGTGCAGCCGGGGCTTCAGGGCCATCACGCAAGGGCACCAGGAGCCCCCGGCAAGGTGGGCTCTTGGGGGAGTTCTCTGGCATGCTGGCGCCGAGTTGGTTCAGTCTGGCACAGGCAGCAGGCCCGCCCCTGCTCCCCAGAGCGAGGAACCAGCTGGTTTGCAAACGTGGCTTTTTGGTTTCTAATTAGTTTCAATGGAGTTCAGACCAACAAGGCGGGGCATGCAGGCCCCAGGTTCCCTTTCGCTCGCTCTTGTCATTTCAGTGGAGTATTTCTCAGCGTTGGCACCAGGGACATTGGGGACCGGATCCTTCTTTGTTTCGGGGGCCGTGCTGTGCGCTGTAGGGCGCTGAGCAGCATCTCTGGTCTCCACCCACTAGTTGTTGGGGCGCCCCTCCCCAGTCCGGACAGTAGAAACTATCTCCAGACATCGCACACGGCCCCCGGGGTGGGGTGCGGCAGGATCGCCCTCCCTTGGGGGCCGCTGCTGTAGTGCAGTCAGAGCATTTGTACACCGTGGGCACGTGTGGCTGAAGAATTGCTGTGTTGTTTTCCAGGCACGACAGTGGCAGCGAGTGTCTCCTCGTGAAAGTGCTCCAGCTGAAGAACCTCGCGGGGCTGGCCGTGAAGGAGGACTGCAAGATGTAAGAAGCCGAACTGACAGTCAAACCAGGGAGCCCGGTTCGAAAAGCGGGGCTGTCAGTTCTGGGGAGTTTGCTTTGTTGTGCGGGGCAGATGCAGTTCATGGAGCCGGGCTGCTTGTGCTGCAGCGACACTAACAAAGGGCCAAGTGCCCTCATTGGCCACATTGGGCCTAGAACGTCCACCGGGGTCACTGGGCTGGGTAGTGACGAAGCCACACTCAGCTCTGTGAGCTGATGAGGTGCCCGTGGAGGTGGCTGAGGGCTCCCTGGGACTTGCTCACCCCTGGGGACTTGGCGTGGTCACCAGTGTTTGAGTCTCCCCTGTGTGCTGACTGCCATGCTGGGGTGGACATGGCAGGACACCCCACACCCAGGCCCGGTGGGCGGAGCCTCCACTGACTCCTCTCAAGTCCTGGCTACTGCCTCGGAAGTCTTCCTCTTTTTTTAAAATTGATTTCAAAGAGGAAGGGTGATGGAGAGAGAGCAACAATAAATGATGAGAGAGAATCATAGATCAGCTGCCTCCTGCACGCCCCCTACTGGCCCGCAACCTGGGCATGTGCCCTGACCGGGAATCCAACTGGGACCTCCTGGTTCATAGGTTGATGCTCAACCACTGAGCCACATGGGCCCAGCTAAAGTCTTTCTGTGTGTGTGGCTTTTTCCTAACCTCCCGGGCATGTAAGTTCCCCGGGCTTCCCCTTAGCTGAGAAAAGGACTTTGTCTGGAAGACCTGGCATTGCCGCCCACGGGCGTCCAAAGAGTGGAACACGTGTCTGTGCGTGAATCGTGCGCACCCTCAGTAGCCTGATCTGTGCTTCTCTCCTCTCTGCTTCCAGACACGTCCGCGTCTACTTGCCGTCGCTGGACTCCAGCACACCAGACACTTACTGCTCCAAGGCAGTGGAATTCCAGGCCCCCCTGGTATTTAATGACGTTTTCAGAATCCCTGTGCACTCAAGCATGTTGACGTTGAAGTCCCTTCAATTATATGTGTGTTCAGTGAATCCGCAGCTGCAGGAAGAACTGCTGGTATGGCCTGCGCATGCGCAAGCTCTCCCCCGCCCCCCTCCCGCCCCCCGTCTTCTCCCTTCCCTGCTTCCCTCTTCCTTTGTTTTTCCCTCATGCTTTCTTTCTTTGTGTGCCATTCTTTCTTCATCCCTCGTCTTTTGTTCTTCTCTGTTTCTTTCTTAGTCTTTGTCTGTCTTCCTTTCTTTGTCTCTCTGCTTTTCTCTCTCTCTGCTTTCTTTGTCACCCTCTCTCTCTCCCTTCATTCCCTCCCCTGTCTCCCTCCCTTCTTTCCTCTCTGTCCCCTCCTTCTGGTTTCCTGTGATGGGTTGCTTAGACGTTGTCCTGTTAAGGGTCTCTGTAACTGGGAGGACAGAAGGGGATGACAAACCAGCTGTGCTGTCACGTGTTTTATACATTCTCTCAAATAACACTTGCAGAGCTCCAGTTAACAGCTTTTAAATTATCCCCATTTTTAGTTGAGGGAACTAAGTCGGGTTGGCAAATAAGAACATAGGGTGGTCCTTTAAATTTGGATTTCAAGTAAACTATAGATACCTTTTGAGTACAGGTATGTTCCATACAGGATTTGGGACATACTGATACTTAAAAAAACCAGTGCTTATTTGGAAGTGAGATTCACCTAGATGCCCTATATTTTACCGGGCAGTCCGCCGCCAGGCCCGGGCCACCCACTGCCCTCCCAGGGCTTGCGGCCAGAGTGCTTCTGTCCAAGGCTGGAAGATTGCCCTTTCTTCCTGGCCCCGCAGCAGCAGAATTAGCGATTGGAGAGGTCAGCCAGGCCTCTCTGGTTTCCGAAATCCCTGAGGTCATCAGCTGCTCCACAAGCGGCAGCCCCTGAGCCCAGCCCAGCACTCCAGGGTGGCCATTCTCAGCCCCTGTTCCCCTTCTAGCTTTCTTTAAAATAATATTTTTAATGATTTCAGAGAGGAAGGGGAGAGAGAGAGAAACGTCAATGAGGAGAGAGAATCATGGATCGGCTGCCTCCTGCACGCCCCCTACTGGGGATCGAGCCCGCAACCCGGGCATGTGCCCTGGAACCATGACCTCCTGGTTCATAGGTTGATGCTCAAGCACTGAGCCACACGGGCCGGGCTTCTGGTGTTTTCTGATTGGGCTGAACAAGCAATGGAGGAGCCATCCCTGTCCCCATTAGGGTCCTCTGTAACCGCTCTCATTTGATTGTAGCCCTTTGAATGGAGTGAAACATCTGACCTCTGCTCTGGTCAGGATTGGGGTGACCTGGATGTTCCAGAAGATTCGTGTTGGTGTTTTAGTGGAAACCACTCACTGCCTGTTCTGTTTCTTTTGAACACCGCGCAGGGCATCGCTCAGATTAACTTGGCCAACTGCAGCGGCCCGAGTGGCCGCAGCCGCCGCCACTGCCGCGGCCGCTGCCGCTGGGAAGACGGTGCGTGTGCCTGGCTACGGAGCAGCTCGCTCTGCTTCCTGGCTTGAGACAGGCTGTTATCAGGGGAGGGCCTCTCAGAAGCCACAGTTTCAAGGGAAGTCATAGAAATGGAATGTCTCAGTGTGCATGGCTATTCATGATAGTGTCTTTTAAAAAGATAGTTTAAATTGATTTTTAGGGAGAGAGGAAAGGAGAGGGAGAGAGAGAAACACCAATGATGAGAGAATCATGGATCGCCTGCCGCCTGCACGCCCCTTACTGGGGATGGAGCCCGCAACCCGGGCCTGTGCCCTGATCGGGAATCGAACCGTGACCTCCTGGTTCATGGATTGATGCTCAACCACTGAGCCACGCTGGCCGGGCACGATAGTGTTTTTTAACACGAACACGAACACGCTCATGATCGTGAATGGCACATGGGTTGTTTTTAAACGTGAACCTTCAGCTACAGGCAGCCTGCTACCAACACTGGGGAGAGCAGCCGAGGGCGGCCACCAGCCGGGAGGAAGGGCCTCAGTGAGGGGTGGGCGCCACGCCTGTCGGTCTGAGCTGGTTCTCAGACATGTCCCTGTCCTCCCCCAGGACGCGGTGACGGTGCTGCTGGCCAGAACCACGGCCCAGCTGCAGGCAGTGGAGAGAGAGCTGGCCGAGGAGCGTGTGAAGCTGGAGTACACGGAGGAGATGGAACGGAAGGAGGAGCAGACCGAGGCCCGGTCTGAGCGGTGAGGCTCCTGGGAAGTGGCAGGGAGGGGACGAGGCGTGGCTGTGTCGGTGTCGGTCGGCTGTGGCTCTGGGAACAAGTTGCTTTGCTCATCCACACTGTGTAGCAAGCGCTGGGCGACTCTTCGGAGAAGCTGATTCTCGGGGGGGAACTGAATGCTGAGCTCGGGCAGGACTGTGACCCCTGCCCCCTGCTCTCCGTGAAGGCTTTTCCCCTTCCCCTTCTGCTCCGGGATTTCTCTTAGAGCGCGACTATTGAATGACTCTGCTCTGCCAGCAGTGAATGCAATACGGCCCCTTTAAGTTTTTGAACAGCTGTATTGAGATATAATCTACCTGCCGTACAATTCAGCCATTTAAAGTGGACAATCCGGTGGTTTGGAGTACAGTCTCAGAGCTGTGCCACCATCACCACAATCAGTTTTCATCGGGCCAGAAAGAAACCCCACACCCATTAGCAGTCAGCCGCTGCTTCCCCAGCCCCCGCGGCCACTGATGCGCCGGCCGGCTCTGCGGGTTCGCCCCGTCTGGGCATTTCATCCAGCTGGAACCCCGTGATGGCTCTTCCGCTTTGCCGGAAGCGGCCTGCGGGTGAGCCCTCGGCGCGGTACAGCACCGCCTGCACAGAGCAACCATTCAGATGCCCAGCAGCCCTGGTGAATCGGCTTCTGTCCCATCCTTCCCAGAGGCGCGCACGTGGCTTCCCTTCCACGGTTTTCCACACAGAGCATCCCCCTTCCAGAGCTTCCCGCTGCCTCCTGTCGCTCTCCCCGGCTTTATGTGAGAGGAATGTCTTTTATGGAGGGCGGTGCGTGGCTGAGGGTAGCTCAGTGTTGGGGGCCAGGCAGGAAGTTGGGAGGGGCCTGGGGAGGGGCTTCGGATTCTGGCATGTTCACGGGGTGCAGTTGGGTGATAAAGGCAGACAGAGCCTCTTAACAAAAGGCCTTGTGGCATTATCTCCCCTGGAAGCCGTGAGTGCACTTTTATAAGGAGCAGCCGCAGCGGTCGGAAGCCGATCCTGGGTCTCTGCTGCTGCGCCCTGAAGGCAGCAGGGACCGCCCTGGGGTGAGCGTTCCGTGCGCTTTTGCCATGTCCGCCTCCAGGAGCTGGCAGGCCGACTCGGTGGACAGCGGCTGCAGCAGCTACACCCAGACCAGCCCCCCGCACCCGGAGCCCTGCTGCAGCGGCGTGGACCCCATCCATGGACACCCGATCGCGGGCCAGGCAGATCCTTACCACCCCGAGAAGCGCCAGCTCCCTCCTCCGAAGGTAAGCAGAAGGGACGAGGGGTTGTCAGGAACGCCAGTGGCTTTTGCCCTGCGGACAGCGGGTGCGCCCCACACCCTTCAGGTGAAACCGAGGGACCGGGTGGGGAGAGGGCCAAGGCAACTGAAGCTGACAGGCTCAGACGCAGTAGAATGACACATGTGACTGAGGGACAGCTCTAGTGACCATGACTGAGGGGGATGTGCCGTTGGACTAGGGGCGAAAGTGAAGGCGCTGTTTCACTGAGAGTGGAGGGAAGGCCGGGACTGGCTTCAGCTCAGTGACCGGGACCTTAGGAATGTGTGTGAAATTCAAATGAAAACGAAGGCAACTAGATGGGAAAAGGGGTGACTTCCACTCCTTCCCGTCCCATCTCCAGGGCCACCCACAGTGCAGGCTGTTGGGGGCGTGGAGGGGGACTCGCGGTTTTGAACACTTCCTCTTCTCCCTTCGGGATGTCAGGAACAGCGGAGCGTCCTTTTGCCCCCTCTGTTCACCTGATCTTAGTTGTGGCCATCGCCACATCTTCAGGGAGGCCACCTTTCAGGCTTGCGGGGACAAATGTCTAAGGGAAGCAGTGCAGCTGGGAGGTACCGCATCAAGGCTCTGTGGAAACTTTGTTCCCAAACTGTTCAGCTCATCAAAACATCTTATCACCATGCACCCCGACCTTACTCCCAACACAAATACCGAGAGAAGTGAAGCCCGCCCCCTCGGAGCTTCCCAGGCCACAGCGCATGCGCCACCACCTCCGAGGAGATGGGGGCTCGGCTGACTTCGGAACTCCTTCGCAAGCGTTGGCCCAGATCCCAGGGCGTGGCTGTGGGAGGCTAGTAGGTGTGTCCCACTCCTCCAACTTCTTTTTTTTTTCTTTTAATAGATTTTTATTGATTTCAGAGAGGAAGGGAGAGAGAGATAGAAACATCAATGATGAGAGAGAATCATGGATCGGCTGCCTCCTGCACGCCCCCTACTGGGGATCGAGCCCACAACCCGGGCATGTGCCCTGACCGGGAATCAAACTGTGACCTCCTGGTTCATTGGTTGATGCGCAACCACTGAGCTATGCCAGCTGAGTCAACTCGTCATTTTAAAACACTTCCAATCTATGGAAAAGTTGTGAGACTAATACAACGAAGACCCATATGCCTTCACCTAGATGCCCTGATAGTTAGGTCCTCACCGTGTTTGCGTTCTCTCCCTCCACGTGTGTGTGGGCAGCTGCTGGGCGTCACAGAGGCAGCAGCACAGAAACCGCAAGTCCTGCCCTGAGGGAGGCAGGCACCAGAGAGGGCAACCAGTGAAATCAGTGTTTGAGGATCAAAGGTGCTACTGCACGAGGAGATGGTAGAGACGCGGGCTTTAAGTTTCTGAAAGATCTACCATCTTAGAAAGGACTGACATTTAGAAATGCAAATTTGCATTTACATTTTAGCAAGGTCAGGATTGTAAAATGGTGTAGCGTAGCCACTATGGAAAACAGTGTGGAGGTTCCGCAAAAAATTAAACAGAACTCCACATGACCGAGCAATCCCACGATTGGATATACATCCAAACAACTGAAAGCAGGTCTGAACGAGATATTTGCACACCTGTGTTCACAGCAGCGTTATTTACAGTAGCCAAGAGGTGGAACCAACCCAAGTCTGCACTGATGGGTGGATGGATAAAGAAGATGTGGTGTATGTGTGCAATAAAGCATTAGCCTTAAAAAGGAAAGCACGTCACATGCTACACATGGATGACCCTCAAAGACACTGTGCTAAGTGAAATAAGCCAGTCAGAAGAGGACACGTACTGACTGTATGACTGCACTAACCTGAGGGGCCGAGAGTAGACTCAGAGAGGGGAAGTAGGTGGTGGGGGCCAGGGGCCGAGGGAGGAGAGTGGGGAATGTGTGTTCAGTGAGGACAGCGTTTCCGTTTGGGAAGATAGAAAGTTCTAGAGATCAGTTCCACAGCAATGTGAGTACATTTGACACTCCTGAACTGTACACTGAGAAATGGCATGTGTTTCTTCCGATGAACAAGAAAGAAAGGCCGCGGCAGCCTCCTGGAGAAGGCGATCTTTGAGCAGAGGCCTTAAGGGAGGCCCGAGCCTCGCGTCGGGCTGGCGAAGGGTGTCGGGGAGAGGAAGCGCAGGCGCCGGCCTGGCCTGGGGGGTGGAAAAAGGGACCTTGAGCTGAGGACAGGAAGTGAAGGGGACAGGTCATGAAGGGCCCATTCAGCACATTCCCTTTTTTTCCGAGACAGGGAAACTGATGGATGGTTTGAGCCCAGAGTTGACAAGATCTAACTTGTTTTTTTGTTGATTTTTTTCTAAAAGTCATTTATTAACATGAAATTCACATAAGACGAAATGAGCAGTTCACTGGCATTGAGTGTGTTCACAGTGCTGTACGGCCACCATCTTTGGTTCCAGCACACTTGTCACCCCAAAGTGAACCCCATACCCCTGGGCATCACTCCCCACTCCCGCCCCCAGCCCCTGGCAACACCAGTGAGCTTCCCGTCTCCGTGGGTCTGCCAGTTCTGGACGGTGCGTGTAAATGGAATCAGACGACACGTGTCCGTTGGGTCTGGCTTCTCTCAGCCCAGTGCCTTCAGGGTTCATCCGCACCGTGGGTCTGTGGGGCCGTCAGCCCTTCCCTCAGCTGGGGACTGTCCCTTGCTCGGCCGCCACGTTTCCTATACCTCCTCCTCCGTCCTCCGTGCTGTTGGGACTGTTTCCATCTCTTGGCTAGTTCAGTAACACTGCTGCGAACATGCATGCGCAGGTACTTGTTTTGTCAATGAGAAGAAGACGTGACCTTTGTAGATTTCAGAAAAGACTTCTTTATGTGGGCCCAACTGAGGACATGCCCGAGAGCAGAGCCCAAGAAGCCCGAAGCCCGGGGCCGGCTGCAGGCGAGTGAGTGGGGGGCTTTTATAGGTGGGAGGACGCAGCTTCATGAGTTCCATACGTGCAAGGAAACAGCGCCGCCGGGAGGGAATGCACAGATAAGGGAGGGTCAGCACGTATCTGGACTCAGGGAGTCAGGGAGTCATGGGAATGAGTCTGGAAGCAATTATTTTGAAACCTTTATCAGGATGTAGAAAGAACAGAGCCTGCCTTCCATAATCATTTATCTTTGTAATTGGACTGGTAGGGAGTGTACGTGACCAGCTCCACGGAAGGCCTGGCTCAGGAATTCACCGTGTTCCCTTGGTTACTGCTCAGGTTGGGGCAGCTGAGCTGCCCTCTCCTGTCTCAGCAGCGAATTCCTATTCTCCGGTCTCTCGGGTACACTCTTAGGAGAGGAGAGGCTGCATCTGGCTTCGGTTTCAGCGGGATCCCCTGGGTGTTGAGAGGAGATTCAAGGCGGGGGGGCGGGCATGGAATCGGGGAGATGGGTGAGACTCCTACAGCACCAATCGGGCACAAGACCACGGTGCCGCAGATGGAGGGTTGGTGATAGGTGATCAGAACATGCATGATCTTGAATATGGAGCCAAGAGGACTTGATCCTGGATCCGATACAGAGTGTGTGACAGAGAGCAGGGCCCAGGAGGACAGGGGACTTTCTAAAAATTTTTAATTTTTTTAACTTTTAATTTCTTTATTGATTAAGGTATTACATATGTGTCCTTCTCCCCCCATTACCCCCCACACACTCATGCCCTCACCCCCCTGTTGTCTGTGTCCATTGGTTAGGCCTATATACTTGCATACAAGTCCTTTGGTTGATCTCTCCCCCTTCCCCCTTTTCCTAAGGCAGATTTAATGTTTGTTTCATAGTCTATTGAAGAAGAGTTTTCAGTGATGGAAATTCTTGTGAGATCTGTATCTATCCCAGTGAAATGATACATTATAGTGTGAACCTATTACATAATCATTTTCTGTGCAGCAGCTTAGTCCAGTTCATAGAAGTGCTGGCTCTTCTCAACAGTGAGAAGAGGACTGAATCTTAAGTTCAGTTCCTACTCTCCACAAGGAGTGGCATGGCTTTACCTGTCCTCTGAATCCAGATTATAGACTAGTCTTATGCTCTTAACTAGATCAGTTCCTCTTTCATTAACTACTTAAATTAGGGCAGCTGTCTGAGCCGTTGGTTGTAAATTTGCTAATGTCTACTTCGTTAATCTCTGATACAAAAGGCAGCAGATAACAGGATCACACTTGTCGTTTGTTGATTTGTTGATGATAGTATTATGTTTTTACTAGAGGTCTGGTGCACAGATTTGTGCACCGGTAGGGTCCCTCAGCCTGGCCTGCGCCCTCTCACAATTGGAACCCCTTGGGGGATGTTAGACTGCCAGTTTGGGACTGATCCCTGCAGGCCAGGCCGAGGGACCCCACCAGTGCACGTGCACCAGGCCTCTAGTATGCATATAAGATCTTTGGTTAATCTCTTGTCGCCCTCCCCTCCCCTCCCTCCCCACTTCCCTCTGAGATTCATCAGTCTGTTCCATGTTTCCATGCCTGTGTGTTGAGCATCTGCCACCTGGTGGTCAGTACGTGTCATAGCTACCAGTTGAACCGAGAATCATTGATTGGCTATCTCCTGCATGCCCCACACTGGGGATCAAGCCCGCAACCTGGCCACATGCCTTGACCAGGAATGAAACCATGACCTCCTGGTTCCTATGTCAACGTTCAACCACCGAGCCACAATGGCCGGGTGACACAGATACTTTTTTTGCATGAAAAAGGGCAAATCGGGATCCTTGTCAGAGGAGGAGGGGCTGGCAGATAGCAGACATTCCGGGTTGGATGTGTGAAATGTGAAATGCCTGTGAGAGCTCCAAGCGGAGAAGGCAAGGACATGGTTGTGCCTGCAAAGTTCATTGCTATGTTCTAGAAAAGTCGTGGTAATAAACGAATTCCTGTCTAGGTGGATAAGGAAACCAACACAGAAGACCTGTTCCCAGAAGAACTAGCGAGTCTGCCGAAGGAGAGGCCCAGCCGCAGGGCCCGCGCCTCGCCCTTCGTCCGCAGTGGCACCATCGTCCGTTCCCAGACTTTCTCGCCTGGGGCACGGAGCCAGTATGTGTGCAGAGTAAGTTGGAGTTCCTTTGTCACCAAAAAAAGCCCCCCCACCCCCGCCGGTTGTGTTTTCATTTTTACTTTTTATGCTAAAAGACATAAGTGTTCTCACACCTAAGCCCAGTCGTGAACAGCATGCTTGTGTGGCATGTGAATCCCTGCTGGTTTCATCTCCCCGCCGTGCCCGTGCACATCTAAGTGCATTTCTCTGGATTCTAATGCGTTTCCCGCCGGCCTCTCAGTGTTGTGCACGCGCGATGCATGGCCAGGAGGCAGGGGAACTCATTTCCACAGTCTAAGCCAGGGGTGGGGAATGTCCGGCCCTTGGGCTGTATAACGCCCGCGAAATCATTTGGCCTGGCCCTGCCAAGGCATTAGGGGTGAGTTAATTAAATGTCTGACCAAATAGAGCAGGCTCATTTTTAACTTGGTGATTTTGTAGGGCCCCCGAATGATGTTATAAATATCCCAATGGCCCTTTGCAGGGGGTGGGGGGGAAGGGTCCCCACCCCTGCTCTAAAGGATAACAAATGGATATAGGGACTACCCTGAGGGGGTTGAGATCAGGAAGTCAGGTTGCGGAAGCAGGGAGTCCTGAAGTAGCTGGTCGGAGCCCCCGGGGGCTCGGGCCTTGCACACTCGGGCACTGAGGCACAGGGTTCTGACTCCCCACGTGTAGATTCGCACCCATGGGTGATGCGGGAGGCGCTGGGTGCTTCTCTTGGGGCCTCACGTAGGCTGGTGCCTGGTTCTACCCCCAGGGGTCGCCACTGGTGGCAGTGGGGCCGGCCATCAGCTCTGGGATGCTTCCCGATGGGCGATGGGCGTGCACGCAGGGCTGAGAACATGAACAGGCAGAGGGGAGACCCAACTCCCCGTGGTCCTTGGAGAAGGGACAGCGTGGTCGAGGTTGGCAGACAGCGGCAGTGTGACAGCCACGCACAGGCTAGGAAACAGAAGGGCTTTTCAGCATGAATGGTGTTGACACGATGTCCGGGGGAGGACATTGGATTGGGGAGAACTTTGACCCTCCTGCTCCCCTGAATTGGACTTGTTGAAAGCACTGCCGAGCAGCTGGCCCATCAGGTCAAAGCCAGAGTCGATCACATGACATAAAAAGCCCTCCGACCCATGCGGGCGGCCCCGGGACTGCGGTTCAGGGCTCCCCACGCCACCCTCAGGGCTGGTGATTTGCTAGGACTCGCAGAACTCAACAGGCCCCGATTCTATTGGTGATGGAGGTGGTTTGCCGAATAGACCAGAGTCAGCAGAAGGAAGAGGCGCCTGGGCTGAGCTGGGGAGAGACCAGGCCTGAGCTGCTGGGTGATCCCAGCAGAGCCGGGCAGGCCGCCGCATCTCTCCCAGCAGTGACAGGCGACAGCACGCAGGGCATTGCCAGGCGGGGAAGCTCCCAGAGCCTCAGCCCCGGTGCCTGCAGGCGTGGGGCGTTGGCACAGCTGATTGCCGGTATGGCTGACTGGTGTGCAGCCCCTGCAGAGGGCCAGCTGGTGGCCAGACCCCCCCCCCCATGAACCACATGGTCAGCAGAGACCACGTGGCCTGGTCCAAGGTCCCAAAGACACTTAGGATGTTCCAGGGCCTTGCAGGTCACCTCCCAGGAGCTGGCCAAGGACCTTCCTTGGGGCCAGGTTGATCCTTTGCCGCAGAGTGAGCAGCAGGGCGTGGTGCCAGGTGGCCCGAGCTGCCCTGTGGCCACGTTGGTGACACCTGCTTCTCTCCTTTGCCAGCAGTGACGGGCGTGGCCCACGGCAGCCGTGGGTAGCACAGGGTTGGCCCGGGCACTCCTACCCCGTCAGGATTCAGCCTCGAGGGGGCCCACGCTTCATCAGGCGGCTGGAGGCGCTAGATGGAAGGCCACCCTCACGTCCCCTCCTTATTCTAGACTCTTGCGGACACTGGGGGGCAGATGCCAGCCCGCTCATGGGGAGGTGACGGAGCAGGAGACCCTTTCCCCCCAGGGGGAGGCTTCCGGCTCCTGCCTGCTCGGCGCCCTGCCGAGGAGCAGGCATTTACCCTCGATGCTCTCAGAGGCCTCTTTGTTCTCATACATGTTCTCAGTGCTCGGGAGGCATGGCACACGCTGCCTGAGTGTTGGGCGTTAATGGGCGTGGACAGTCAGGCCCGAAGGCAAGGCCTCTGGCTTCCGCACAGTTGCACATTGATCCCGAAGCAGAACCTGCCGCCAGATGAAACGCGCAGCGTCTTAGCCGCCATAAAGGAGGCATTCTTCCTTTTCTGTTTGAAGGCAGCCTTCCCCGGGGCCGGGCCGCGGGGCGCCTGTCCTCCGGGCGCGAGCTGCTTTGCTGGGCACAGCCGCTGCCAGACAGCGATGAAGAGTGAAGACGCAGAGTGAAAAGTGCTGGGGACAGTGCTGGCTGTCCCAGCGTCACACATCAGCCCCAGGCCCCCTGCTGCTGGCGGGACAATGTTGTTGACTCGATCAGCCGATCAGATCAGCAGGGGAAGCTCGAAGCTCGGGTAGTGCAGTTGGTGGTGCAGTTGATGGCCGAGAGGGAGGGCTGGGTGGAGGTGGGGGTGGTTTGCTCATTTATTTTTTGCGGGGTTTTTTTGTCTTTCATTTTAAAAAGTCCTGTGTAGGTTTTGTTTTTACTGAAACCAGGAGTCTTGGTAAAGCTGTACAATTATACATGCATTGGAGTGCCTGTGAGGAGAAAGGAAATAGGCCAGATCAGAGCGCAGGGAGAAGGCTGCGGACTTGCGAGAAAGCGTTTCTGACCCGCATTGTTTTCGGTGCAGCTTTACCGCAGCGACAGCGACAGTTCCACGCTGCCCCGGAAGTCCCCCTTCGTCCGCAACACTTTGGAGAGACGGACCCTCCGCTACAAGCAGGTGTGTGCACGTAAGCTAATACGGAATCCACACTTCCCCGGGAGTTATTCTTACAAACCTTCATAAAAGCAGTCTTTTAGGTCGTATTCATTAAAAGGTCATTTATTTATTTCCTTCTTTACTTGGGTAAAAATCTAAAAAGCCTAATGATGTCAAAATGTTACCCATGTTTCTTAATTTCCTAAGATAATATCATGATCTAAGATGTAAAATGATTCGTGTTCTTTACATTTTTAAAAAATGTACTAGTATTTTTGTTGACTTCAGAGAGGAAGGGAGAGAGGGAGAGATAGAAACATCCATGTTGAGAGAGAATCATGGATCAGCTGCCTCCTGCACGCCTTCCACTGGGGATCAGCCTGCAACCCAGGCATGTGCCCTTTACCGGGAATTGAGCCAGTTCATAGGTCAATGCTCAACCACTGAGCCATACCAGCTGGGCTCTGGGATTTTAAACAAAAGCACTTGTATGGCTTATGGCATGCTTCCCCCTTATTCAGTGCACTGTTAATATTCCATGTCAATAGTTTTTTAACTTTTTCCAATGGCTGCATTCTATACTAACCTTGTCATTTATTTAGTAAGTTTCCTCATGTTATAGATAGTGTTTTGTTGTTTTTATCATGAACCTTATTTGGATCACTTCTACACATCACCAAGTGTGCCTTTCAAATGCAAGTAAAAATGAAATTTCAGAATGAAAGAAAATACACGTTTTGGCTTTTGATATATATTGTGAAATAGCATTTTAGAACGATTATGCCCATTTTTTGATCCTGCCAGCCCCATAGGGGAGGGTCTGTTTCTCCAAACATCCATCGTCGTTACAGAAAAAAAAATTTGCTGTCACTAACTGGATATTGAACCAAGATTTAAATTAATTTCTCCCAAATCTATGTTGTGTTTGGTTTTTTAACACTGGGCCATGCGAAGACAAATACCTCCCTGATAACTCTACTCCATTGTCTCCGGTATTGGGGGGAAGAACCTTCTAGAAAGCCCGAGCGTGCTGGCCACATGATGCCCGCGTGTCTGGTCCGAGTGTGTGCTCACGACTGTGGTCTCCTGCAGTCCTGTAGGTCATCCCTGGCCGAGCTCATGGCCCGCACGTCCCTGGACCTGGAGCTGGACCTCCAGGCATCGAAAACTCGGCAGAGGCAGCTGAACGAGGAGATCTGCACCCTTCGCGAGCTGAGGCAGCGCCTGGAGGACGCCCAGCTCCGAGGCCAGACCGACCTCCCGCACTGGGTGCTGCGGGACGA